TGATAGTATGCTGTCTTTGACCTTGAATTTCCTCTGTCTGTACTTGCCAAAAGCTTATGTCACCAGTCGTAAATAATGACTGTAGAAAGCAGAAGAGTGACCAGATAGACTTCCCTTTGTTTAATGTTTTTACAAATCTAAAAAGGAACATGACTCTAATCATTTTAAGAAGAAAAACTTTCTTCCTTATCATGGAAGTCAGGAAAGACTAGCAGTAGTCTCCAAAAGAATTACCTGAGGCTCCAGATTACCTCTGTCTGAGCTGGAGGAGAGGGGCCTTGTGACCACTTCTGTGTAGACTTTCTGTGGGGTCTAATCTCCACAATCCCTGTGAATTACTGTTTCTCATTCATCATTGTGCAATACCAGGAAACTAAAAGAGAATTAGAAGGTTAGACTAAACCTATTAGAAGTAAAGTCAGTGCCGAGACTCAGAATGGGCATCAGAATTTAGCCTTCTGTCTAATTCCCTAACTTGTCTCCATAAATCCGTATTTACTTTGCTAGAGATGCTAGATTTTGCAAATAATCTGGTCCTCTGGTTAAGGTTTACAATGTCTGTGTTTGGGGGGGGTTGGGGGGCAGGAATAGGGGAAAATTCTTTTTTGATGATCATCAGAAGTAGACTGAAAAGAATTAGACCCTTGAATACAAGTTTTGAAGCCTATCTTTATAAATACTGCACCATACTTATTAAATGAAGGAAAGGGGAAAACAGAAAGAAATGCAAAGCTATGTGACACTCAGTGTAGAATGTCATTTCATTTTCCATATCTAATTGTATTCAGGGCAATAGAAACAAGGTGGCATATAGCCAGTTTCAGGCACCCAGCTGAAAATGAGTAAGATAAATGTTGCCTAGAAACTGAATAGTGTAAAGCCTTCCTGAGAAATAAACTTCTCGCTAATTTTATTGGAACTAAGTTCTGTAGAAACTCTTGACTTTTTTTTTATAGCCATTCCTAAACCATTTCTCTTCTGTTTCCTTAAAGATCTAAGAAGTTTCCTGCTAGAAGGAGGAGCTATTATGAACTACCCACACGAGTGTTAATAGTCATTTTGTGGTCTCAGTTAGGAGATAGGATAGGCAGAAAGGGACTTGAAAGTGGTCTTGGCTAGAATACTCTGCAGGAGAGAAACTAACAGAAAGCTGACATTTTGATAAATGTTTTCTCCCACAAAACTCATTCATTGGATTTTCCCTATCTTAGGTATTTTATCCCCTCATATTCCATGATAATAGCTACCATTTGTCAGGCACTTTGCTAGATACTTAAGTCTGTTCTCTGATTGCTTTCTCCCAGCAGCCCTCCAAATTCTACTGCCTGGAAACCAGTTCCAGAGAGGCTAAGTAACTTTCCCAGGTTATACAATGAGAGCACTTTCCAAATTCTTTGACAGGTATTTTCCAACTATGTAGCTGAACTCTTCACTCCATTAGCTAATGCAAAGGTGCTTCTCCAGTGTGGGTCCCTCTTGAATTCTGTTAGAGATAGTTTGCCTGCATTGGCAAAAATGTAAATGAAAGAACAGTATTCTAATCTTCCCACCTACTTATGAACCCAACTTGATGAGTAAAATACTGTAGATGGATTTTATTATAGATTGAATGCTAGGAATGCTAAGGTTTTGTTGTTGTTGTTGTTGTTGTTGTTGTTTGTTAGTTTGTTTTTCAGTTCTATCCTTGAGCTATATATTCAGATTTTTTTTAAGTACCCTTCTTTATAAATAATTTGTTAATTTGATAAAGTGGAAGAATAAGAAGAAAAGTAAACAGCAGGGGTTTTAAACAAGAACAGGAGTGTTAGCCTGGAATTAACATATGCAGATAAATTTTCCTAAAACCAGAAATCTAGTGAATAGATAAACACAAAAATTTTGCTAAGGTTCCACCTATCACTCATCATTACTAACTCTTCCACAAGTTCCATTCATTGTAATCGCTTTACAAATCAAGAAACTTGATTCCATAAAAGTACAATACAGTGACTTTGTGGACTTTGAATCGAGTTTTTAGAGACAGTGGGATGGAGCTAACTTAGAGAAAATAGTTGTTGGAGAACAAGTAGTTAAAGTTGGCTGTGGAGTTTAGAGAAACTTGAATAAACCAAAGATGAAACAGCACAGCTCCTGATTAAACCATTTTCTTCAGATTACAAGTTAAGACAGCAAATGGTATTGCTGTGTCGCTGTTCTTTGCTTTATTCTTACTTCAGTACCCATTTTTATTCTGCAAGAAGCTGAGCCAAGATCTTAGATTAAAGCTATTTGAAGGCAATAGACTAACACTAACCAACTGCCAGTTTACCTCCTGTAAACAGAATTTCTCTTCTAGAGAAAATGGGTTGTGGGTTTGCTATAGAAGATGAGTTATCCAAATACATATGGCTGGCACATCACTGAAAAGCCAAATAGGAAGAGAAAAGAACATAACTTTTATTTATTATGCCTTAATAGTAAATTTCTAAGTTTTTCCTTTTTTGATGTCATTTGAATTTGGCATATTCCCCCTGGGATCTTTCCTAGACCAAGGCTTTCAGTGAGCATAAGGACTTGCCAGGATTGGTTTGAGTTTGTGCCTACAGTGTATGTTATGTGTTAATTTCCACCAGATTTGTACCTTCCAGTTTATATTCCACTAGGCAAGCCTTGCACAGGACTCCATTATAAGAAACCCTTTGTCCATGGACACAATGAAAAGAAGTAGATTCTATTCTTGCTGTGTTTCCTAGTATATTTGAAATGTATCCTATAAGATGACACTTCAAAGCAAGTGCATACTTTGAAAGGTGTTCTTGAGATTTGGATATATGAATTATTGGATCATTGGCATCTCTGAAGAGATTTGATCCCATATCTTCATTGAACAGGTGGCTCTAGTTGGTAATGAGGTTTGAACTTGTGGGTCTTCAAAAAAAAACCTGTTCATGGGAAAAATATGTAAAAGTCCATCAAGGAAATCAAGGATACAAATCTTAAGTAGTTTGTAGTGCTGGTTCTTGCTTTTTAAACTGTCTTTTGCACTTCAACTTATACCCCCAAATGAAAATGAATACTATTCAGTTTCCTCTTCTATCTTTTTACCTCCATGAGGAAAGACTCTATGTCTGGTTCATCTCTGTTATGTCCCTCAGTCTCTTACACCACAAGGCACTCCTCACATAGTCACTGACTCAGTGGCCAGGACTCATGCTGACAACATGGAATGAAATTATCCTTTATGGTTTTCTTATGCTATAATCACTTTCCAGACTCTTATTAAAAGAGAAAAAAAAATCTGTGACTTCTACTTCAGTCTCTTTATGAGGATGTGTTATCAGCTTTCTTGACAGGCAGAAGTCTTTTTAATCTTATTTCACTTCATTTGCTTAGTTCAAAATCATAATTTATGATCACCCAGAGACCAGTGATCTCTTCATCCTACCATGTTTCTTTGTCTGAAAACTGCTGTGCACTTACCATTTGTTCCATCATTGAAACTTTGTGTGTGCTCTCATTGATTATTTTTGTGTATTCTTTTTTGTTTTGTTTTGTTTCACAATAAAAATTTTATGGACAAAGATTTTAACTATATATCTCTGCACCTCCAATCTAATCCCTTTATGGCAATGATATTAATAGCATTAGCTTGTCATGCTCCATAATTATGAAGTAATATAGTGTCTGCCATCAAAGTTATTTATATTCAGAGTTGAACTTTGATTATCCGTACTGATGTTTTGCCTTGTCCATTGCTGGAAATAAGAACCTCTTTCTTAAGCTTGCTTAAGCATAGAATCAAGGGATGGGAGTTGAAGAGAGGAAAATAGATGGCTAAATATTTGTGCCTTTGATTAGACATACATGACTCCCTGAGTCTATGTAAATTTCCTATCTAAAGTATGCTTCTTGTCAGTCTCTTAGTAATGCTGCCATATTACCCTGTTTATTTCCTTTGCAGCCCTAGTCACCCCCATGAAACTGTTCTATTTATTGTTTTTCTTTCCATCAGGTACCTTGTTTGTCTTATTCACTACTGAATTACTAGCACCTAGCTCAGAGTTTGGCACATAGTAAGAGCTTGATAAATATTTATTGATTGGATTAAAGAGAGGCACACTCAGGCTTGTGAACATAAATAACTACTTGGCATTTCGAAAGCACTCTTTCCCTCACAAACTGGAGTTGAGGGACACAAAGAGAACCCACCAACAGCTCCCTCTCTACCCTCTCCAACTCCCCACCCCGACTACAGGAGTTTTTGCTCCTTGGTTTATGTCTCAGATGGACATTTGCAGTAAAGCAGTGAAGAGGTGGTAAAGACACAAGACTGAATATGCAGTTGTCTGGACTTAATTTAATATAGAATATCCAATTTATACCTTGTTTTCAGTGTTCTCAGCTCTAATGCCCTCCTAGGATTGTAATTTTATCAAATTCTGAGCACACTGCTTGCCTAGGGCAGCGGTAGACCTTTTCTTCCAATTTAAATTAGCTGAAGGCTGGTTGTCCCATATGTGAAAGCGTATTCTTAATATCCTGATTGAACACAGGCCATCCAGTTAGGTGAATTATCTTGAAATACTTGCTTTTTATTTACTGACATTTATGATTAGTAAACCTTAGAGCGGTTAAATTTCATTAATGGCATCAATTTGTCCGTTACTACAAATTGTTTCCTGCAACCCAAAGAAGCTACTTTTCTTTTCCTTATTTCAAATTTAAATTTGTACGTTGATCATATCTAGTAAAGAAATGATTCTGCAGAATAAGTGTTAGGTTTCTGAAATCCTACATACAAATCCCTTCTGCCACAACCTCCAAATGTGGTCCTTAATAGCAGTTTCTTCTCTCTCGATCTATAGATTGTAAAAAGTAACTCTGAGTAAAGACGCTCGGAGGGTATTTAGTCATTGGCAGAAATCCCACGTAGGCAAAGTATTTATCAAGAATCAAAGTTTTACTTTAAAAAAAAAGATTTCATATCCTTGAATTATTATATATAATTCTTTTTCTTAAAGGAATCTACTGCTGACTCAACTTTTCCTGGAAAAAAATGGACCATTCCCACCATATGGGGATGAGCACTATGGACCACAACAGTACCATGTCACCTTCTCACCATCACCCGACAACCTCAGCCTCCCACTCCCATGATCACATGATGATGATGATGGTAAGTGCAGCAGGAGAAGCAGCGTAGGCCCTTTCCCACCCATTTGAGTAACAGAGATAATCAAGTTTTAGGACTGGAAGGTTATCATCTTTAAAAATCAATTTACCAATGAGGAAAAACACTAAGGCCGACCCAGACAAGTTAAGTGATTTGTTCAAGGTCATGTGGCAGGTTCATTTCGGAGCCACACCAGAACCAAGATTTCTGTGCTTCTTTCTTCAGTATTCCTTTCTTTCAAAATTGACCCTTTTCTGAATGAAGTTCTGGTCTTTCTACTTTGTGTAGAAAAGAGAAACAGACAAAAGTTGATGGTGGGGGCAAAGGAAAGTGCTTGTGGAGAATGCCTGTGGTAGTAATACTAAAATGAGGAAGAAAGCCTCCCACTTCAATGAGTGTCTCTTATTATCCAGATCTGCTGCTTTTAAACGTTCTAAGCTTCTTGACCTGACATTCTCATTTAGAATCTTCACTTGTTTCTAATTGACTTGTTTTGATTTCCTGGCAGCCCATGACCTTCTACTTTGGCTTTAAGAATGTGGAACTCTTGTTTTCTGGTTTGGTGATCAATACAGCTGGAGGTGAGTAAGCCATCAGGTGGTGTTGGAAGGTGATACAGACTTGCGAGCCAGTGACAAACAACCTGGAAACCCAACACCTCTTTCTGCCATAATTACTGAATCGTTATAGTAATGATCCTAACCATCTTGCTTCCTATTTCCTACCTGGAAGGTGAGGATACACAATGTTTCATTGGGCCCTACAGTAAACCTCCCTTAAATATCATGTGTATGTTTTAGAGTTTCTGAAACGTAATTTAGATACCAGATAGGAGTCTTTTGCAATCCATTTCCTTTCATCCTTTTCCAGTGTTTCCTTGTTTGATTAAGTTATCAGTCCTGGATATAAGAATATAAAAGACATAAGAGGGATTTTATATTCATAACCACAAAATAACCCTAGCTTAAAAACTATTAATCTAGCACAGTTCTTCCACTATACAGATAAATTAAGCCTCAAATAATGAAATGATTAGCCCTACTCACATAGAGTTAGTATGTCAGAGCTAGGACAAGGACCTAGACCTTCCATTCCTGCCTAGTCCAGTGCTCTTTCTAGCTTACCAGACTGGTCTACATCATTCCTGATTCTTGGCATGACCTGTCTTAGAGTCAGTCCTAGTTTTGGGGATAGCTAGTTACCCATTTTTTGTGTGTCTGTCATGTTGGGTTGGTGTGCCTTAAATTCAGATTACACTAGTTCAGTAGTTAGATGGACCACTTTAGATACAAGATAAGTCTTTGGATCCACAAAACCAATTTGTTTTGGTTAGCAGGGAAGTGTTTAATTTAGGTAGTATGTTAAAATCAGTTTTGAATACATTCATATTGTTACTAACTCTTCACAGTGTGGAAGGCTTAGAATTGAAATGCCTATTCAAGGAATCGAGTCTGCACTTAAAGATAAGTTGTTTCATTCATTCCTCTTTTGCATATTCTACATTGTGCATTTCAGTGTAACAAGTTAATTTAATGACATCAAGCAGCCAAACCAAAAGGTTATTGTTGTTCAGATGATTTTTTTTTTTTGGTATCTTTATCAGAAAATGAGTATGTTCTTCAGTTGAGGCAATGGTTTTCATTAACACATCTTAGCTCTTCTCTTGCCTCTGTACAAGTGAAGAGGTTACAATATAATATATTTAGAAATTGAGAGTCACAGTTTTCCTATGTTGTCTTTCTAGCTTGAAAAGCACACCAGCTAAGGATTTTGCATGTTTGACATAACCACCATCTTTTCCTTCCCTACTTAGAAATGGCTGGAGCTTTTGTGGCCGTATTTTTACTAGCAATGTTCTACGAAGGACTCAAGATAGCCCGAGAGAGCCTCCTGCGCAAGTCACAAGTCAGCATTCGGTACAATTCCATGCCTGTCCCAGGACCAAACGGAACGATCCTTATGGAGACACACAAAACTGTTGGGTAAGAAGACTAAACAGATCCAGGTGGAAGTCCTGGAGAGCTGGATTAGTTATATAGCAAAGCAGCTATTTTGTTAGCAACAGCCCCCTTCTGGAGTTAGTGATTCTATATGGCCTTGATCTGATCAAAACTGTCTTTGGAGGCTTGAGGTTGTTGATCATTAGGAGGCCAAAGAAGGAACGATAGGAATCCTCTGCAAACATGATTGTTTATTCTAAATTCTAAGTATTGGTCACTTTGAAAGAAAGTAAAGAATCTTTATTTTAAAATATTTGCCAAAACAAAAATCAGAAGAAGAAAAGAAATTCATGTCAGGGTATAGAAGAATGGCAGAATCCAACTGATTCCTTTCTACAAAATGTTGTACCATCCCAGCTCTAGTCTCCTTTTGTTCTAATATGAGACTGTGCAAATGTCTGTATTCCATCTAAGGAAGTATTTGGATGACTACTGGTTTTTCCCGCAGATTAGTAAATGCTTTCTGAGATTCAGTTATAATAGAAATACAGGTCTTAAAGCTAAATTGGTATTCAAGAAATCCTATAGACTAATGTCCTGCTCTCAAGTAAGCACAGTATTATTTATGCCCATTGTACTGATGGTTGGACTTATTGAGGGCCAAACCGATTGTGACTTACCTGAGGTGAGAGAACCAGTAGTAAGTGACAGAGGGTTAAATGATCAGGTCTCCTGGTCCCTAATTAAGAGCTTGCTACTGTACCACCCAACCCTCCATTCTATTTCCAGTTTTTTAGAATGTGAACTTTGCAAAAGTGGAAGGCCTGAAAATGTTCAGGCCAATAAGTACAGGAGGGTTTGGGGCTTCCCTTTCAGGATGCAGAGTGGAGGTGAGTCAGAGCATTGCTCTTCCTTCCTGTCCCCTCCTCCTGAGGAGGGTTCCTCCTGCTGACCTATAACTGTATCTGGCCAGTCGTATAAATGTCGCAGTCGTATCATATTTCCTTTCCAAAGGCCAAAAAACAACCTACAAAGACACAAGTGCCCGCGAGTTGCCAGGGTGGCTGTGAGGGAGTCCAGCTCAAGCTGAGCTCATGACTACAACCGTTCCCCCTTTCCCCTGAGAGCATGTGTGGGGTCCCTGACTGCTGTGTCCCTGTTTACTTTCCAGGCAGCAGATGCTGAGCTTTCCTCACCTCCTGCAAACAGTGCTGCACATTATCCAGGTGGTCATCAGCTACTTCCTCATGCTCATCTTCATGACCTACAACGGCTACCTCTGCATTGCTGTAGCAGCAGGGGCCGGCACAGGGTACTTCCTCTTCAGCTGGAAAAAGGCAGTGGTAGTGGACATCACAGAGCATTGCCATTAATGTCAAACTCCATGATGTGGCCTTACCCATTGCAGTGGGAAGCAGTTCAAGACTGGAAAACAGGATTCCTAGTCCAATCTTCCCTTCTTCCTCCTTGTCTTCTTACACACAGATACCCACACGCACGTACTCCTGCTCAATGGGTTTAGTCTCCGATCTAAAGTGGTACCCTCCCTTTTCTTTCCCTAGTGAGCTGAGTTTCCCATTTCTCTTGAAGTGAAGCCACCCATGAGATGTCCTGTCTTCCCCCGTCATCTTAGATCCAATCTATATGTTCTTATTTCATCCAGCTAGCTTTCTGTTTGATGGCTTGATCACCTGCTTTTCTAGTCTTCTCTTCTGTTCTTTAAAAAAAAAAAAACTATGTGAATCTGGTGGGTTTTTCCTGGGTCAGTGATGGAAAAGGATTAACGTTAGCCAGGACTTACACCAGTTGAGGGAAATTCTTGCCCAACTAAATTCAAAACCCAAACTTAGCATTAAAAAATATGTTCTAGTCTTTGGACTCAGTGAGTGGGAGATACATTGTGCCTTTCCCTAGGTGTGATGTGATGCACCGAAATCTTTGTAGTGGGCAGAGGGATAGTTTGAGGCTGTATAAACACAGGCCTGGAGCTCGCAGACGTGTGCATTCTTGGGTAGCTCATCAGCTTGTGTTCCAACTTAACATTTTGATTAGCATGAATTTCTCAATTAAAAAAAAGACAATCAATTTGAGAAAATAGAAATAGATATTTCTAAGTGAAACCACTGACATTGTGCTTTGACTTGGTACCTTCATGTGTCTCAGCTGAATGAAACAAGCGTTTTAGCCCTTGTCTCCTATTACTGTTTTCCCGTGTCTCCCTCTAAACCAGCGGTTTTTCAAACTTTAGTATGCATCAGAATCACCTGGAGAGCTTGTTAAAACACTGACTGCTGGGCCTCCACCCAGAGCCCCCAAATTGGCGTTTTTAACAAGTTCCCAAGTGATGCTCCTGCTGATGGTCAGAGGACCACACCGAGAATCTCTGCTTTAAACTAAGGGAGTATCACCTGCTGGGTGAGCTGCCTGGTACTGGGCACGGGAATTTGACTTGGTTTTAGCAGGCGGTATATTTGGGCTTGACTCATGTACTAAATGCTGCTGGTCAATATTTAATCATTCCACAAGCATTTATCCAGCCCCAGCTGTATGTATATGTGCCCAGGCACACATGCACAAAAGGCATTAGCCAAAGTAACATTTATTAGCATATATGAAATCACTAGTCTGTATTTTTAAAGATCTGTGATTTCTTGGAAGTATCTTGAAGGTTGATAAAGCCCTTTGATCTGCACTGTAAGTCAGCCAGTCATGGGTCAGAAGGGCAAAAGCCCAGCCCTCTCTTTGGAGAGGCTTAGGGTGTGGTCTGCTGATGGCCAGATTTTGCTCAACCTCCGAGATCCATGCCCACACCAGGCAGATCCTCATCCTTTACTGACCATCTTTTGTTACTCCTGGGGGCTTAATTAGGTAACGAGTGGACAGAACTTCTTTCCTCAGTGAAGAATCACATTGAATTTTTATTCTGCTCAGTTGTTAGTCTACATTGAAGTCTTGTTCCCAGTCCAACCTACCTCTGTGAAGTGACTCTTCTTGTGCTGGTCTATTAAATCCTGCCCTCCTTGGTGCTAGACTCAAATTGTGCCTCCGGGCAGAAGAGACAAAACACAGCTATCCTGTTGGCCTCTGTTGTGTTTGAAGTTTGTACTTTCTCTGTTGGTGCCAGTTAAATATTGAAGGGCAAGAAATGTGTACTTCCATGGCTTTGAACCAAGAGAGGGTTATGAGCTTACTGGATCAAAGTTAAAATCTAAGAACCAACATTTATAGTTTCATGCTTTTCTCTCCTTCCAACCCGTTGTAGTGCTGATACTTAGCATAAGCAGAGTGAATGACAGGTACTGACAGAATCCAGCATTAAGGTACAAATAGCCTATCATTGTCTCAGAAGACAAGAAATAATAAAACCTTGAATAATGAAATAAGAATCAATGTTTAGTAGTGACCCTGGTACTCTAGAAATCTTGACATGATCTGCTATAAAACACCCTTTCAGGTACAGGACCTTATCAGTAAGGTAGGGAAAATCAAGGCCAGTTAAGACAAAATGCTGTGAATTTCAAAGTCTCAGAGAGAAACATTGGTTTGGGATAGGCCTTTGGGTATTCAAGGTAGAGTCTCATGAAAAACCTAAATTCCAGCAATCTTGGGCTAGGTTGCCAAAGGAAGAAGCTAATGAAGGGAAAAAAAACAAATTAAAGCTTAAATTTCATCTTTCTTGAGCTCTTGGATCGTGATAATGTAATGATCTTACTGACTTTCTTTTCTGTATCCCTGTGCATTTAGAATTTAGTGCCTGGCTTCTTTGTTCCTTTGAGATCCAAATTTCTCTTCTCCTCCTGTTCACATGTGTTAGAAGCTTGTATCCCCATGTCTTCAGCCCCTTATTGTGCTCTCCACTTCTCTTTCTGTCTTTCAGGCTTTCATCCCGTGTATCTGGTTTATTCAGTCTCCCTAGCCCTTCCGGTACAGTGGACAGTGCTGTGCAGTGGCTGTGGATAGACACCAACCAGAAGTTGTACAACTAGTTTGAGGAGCAATTGTCCCATTGGAATTTCTATGAGGCTGGGTGATGGGTTACCTGGTACTATCTGCAGAATTACAAAATCGATGTGCCATCGTAGGAGGAGCACCAGCTTCCTCTTGCCCACAAAGAGGGACTCCTCTGTGTCCGCCAGGAAATTAGAGATTGAGGTTTCTTCACTACTTCTGTGGAATTCCCATTTAGGCTGTGGGGCACTGGCTTTGCATTCTAGCCACAGGGGTTCCTTTTAGAAGGTAGAAGGGGAGGTGGCAGGGAGTACACTTTCATGTCATTTAATGTTGATCCTGCCTTCTCCAGCTACTTCTTTCAGAAGGTACATCTAAAGATACAAAATCCGCATTTAATATAATGCCTTAATCACTGGTTCTACAATTAATGTTGACTGTTTTAGATTGTAAGCTCCTGGAGAGCAGTATTGCTGTAGTAGGAATGTTTTAACAGTGTCATGTGCGAAAGAACAAATAAATATTCTGATTTTGTGATTCTATGCATGTCTTTCTACCCAGAGTGATATTATAAGTGGTTTCTTCGTTGTCTGCATGGAGTCTGGCCATTACCATCAGTTCTTAAGATGTCAGTCTTTTAGGTGGCATGATCCCTTTATGTTTTCATCTCATTCTCCACCTAATCTACTTAAAATGACAAGCCCATACATGCCAGAAGAGCTACATGACCTTTTGTACAGGAGACAGTGTCTTTATGAAGCTGCAATACCTTGGTACACCAAGGATTTCTGAATTTAAAAGCTGACTTGCCGTATCATACTCCCTTCCCTATGTTTATGCTATTGGGCCAGAAGCTCTGAGTTGGTCCTCTAGGAACTACCAAGTCTTGAGACAAGTGTTGGCCCTGCCTGTCCCCTTCATGCCAGAATGCTGGTGTTAAGTGCCTTTCCTGTTGGCTCCCACACGGGTATCTTGCCATCAGCACCACTCCTAGTCTCTTCCACAGTGTAGTATGATGGGCACTGGCTTTGAAGTCAGGAACACCTGGGTTTGAATCCTGGCTCCACCACTTACTAGAAGTGTGACCTTAGGCGTGTTATTTTAATAATCCCTAAGCCTTAGTTTTCTCATTTGTAAAAAGGCAATAATAGTACCTACTTAAATTAGCAATACACATAAAGCCCCCAGGAGATACTAATAGGTATCCAAGCCATAGTAAGTGTATTTTTATTATCTCCTGATTATTATTCCGGCTCTCAGAAAAATGAAAGTTACACACTTCTGGCTAAGGCTGGTATCTCTTCACAAGCACTTGACCATCTTCTTGAGTTTGGGCAATCCGGAAATGAACACTAGTACCTAAGAAATACAGAATCAATGCATGTGATTTCAAAGGTGTCAGAAGACTTGCAGCTGCAATAAGCTCTTATCTACTGATCTGGTAATTGTGTCATTCTTTATAAATAAAATGGCATGGAAATTTCCTGAGAACTGAAACAGCAACATCTCACTGTACCCTAATCACTCCATGTTCTTAGACCAGGCAGTGGGAGACTAGGAAAGCAGGTAGCAAGTAAGTTTACAAGCATAGGTTCAGAAATCATTTCTGCCTGGGTTCAAATCTCAGCTTTACCCCTTAATAGCTAAGCATTAGTTTCACTTTTCATAAAATTAAAGTACTTTTCTCCTGAGAGTTACAAATTAAATGAGATAATCTGCATAAAGCACTTGGTATCATATCTTAAACACAGAGTCCTCTTGAGTATTGGCTAATGGGAGGGGAAGCAGCTCAGGAGACACTGTGTTTTCATGCTTCTGTGCCTATTTGTGCTGAGAAGTCAGTGAGGTTGAGGCAGGGTTTTTTGTAGTTGTTGGGTTTTTTTGTTTTGTTTTGTTTTTGAGACAGTTCTTGTTTGACAGCATCCCCCCTCGTTTGTTTTTGCTTTTTTGCCCTTCCATACTGGCCTTTGCAGGATTCAAAACAGAACACAATTTTCCCTATCTGGAGCCTAACTCTTGCTGTGTTTGAAAGATTAAGATAACAGAATTGAAAGGCCTAGATAAAACTGGAAGAATAAAGGTTTTTTAAGAATGGTGGGAGGAAGAAGGGAAACTATATTATTCTGTCCCTGCTTCTCCCACATTCTGATTACCCAGACTTAAACTACCCGAGAAAGGCTGGGTAAAATCCTGCTGAGGGGTCTCTCCATGATTCCAGAGGTTCTTTCTACCACAGTTGGCAGTTCCCAGTAGTTGAATTAAACGGTGAAAACAAAAAGACACGATTCTAAATTACCCCTCTGAGACTGACTCCTAGTGGGAAAAATTCTTAGGCAAGTTGGGAAAGGAAGGAAAATTGGAATGATGGTAGTACTGTTACTCCACTGCCTAACCTCCAAAAATTATACCCAAACGAGTTACAACGCCATTCTGTAGAGATTTTGGAAATCCACAATCTGATCAAGTTTACACAAAATCATGAGAATCTCATCTCTCTAAGGGCAGGGATCTTTGATTTGTTCCCTGATGTTACTGAGATATTACACTGATGTTACTAGAATGGTAGCTGGTACATAATAAGCACTCACTAAATACTTGGTGAGTAAATGAGTTAAAGGAAAGTCAGTGATGGGGATCAACTGGAAGTTTTCTGTGCTTAGTGTCTTTTAATAAAAATGGGAAGAAATGATGTAGCAATTTAACAGTGCTATTATATTTCATTAAAGATGCTGCACACTTTTCCAAAAATATATTTATTTTTAAAAACAAAAATCAGACAAGTTTCACAGAGTCAAAGTTTCCAGAGACAAAGCAGAGTCTGAATTTCAGCTTAGAGTGAAAGTTAAGCATCAGTAATCTCACACAGAAGTATTTCTCTCTGCAGGAGGCAAAACATTCAGCTTGACTGCAAGCACTCAATTCTCTAAATCTTGTTTGTACTTCTGCCATCATTTTACTCCATTCCAGGGCTCTGGCACGCAAGATAATCACCTCTAAAATTCAAAACTTCCAAATTGAGATGAACGGTTGTTGGGCTTAGGTTGGGGTTTATAACCAATTCGATCATTAATCATCTGTTCTCGGCTCTTGGGGTCACTGCTAAGCCCAATGGCACCTTCTCCATCACTGATTCCTACAACATCAACATCTTCCTTTTGTTTCTTACGGGTCTGAAAGTATAAAAATTTTAGTATTAAAGCAATAGCCTTTCTGTTGACATTTATTTAGCACCTACTATGTATTAGGCATAGAGTAAAGGACAGAGTTCAGGTCTATAGAACAATAAACTGAAATCTCAGGTTTAGATGGTTAGGGGAACAAGGGATACAAGGACACAGTGATAAAAGATATAACCCTTACCCTCCAGGATGTTACAGTCTAACAGAGAACAGATAAATAAGATAATTACAACACGGGTATGACAGAGGAAAGTCCTCACAACAGATGGGGAAGGGGGGTGACCAGTAAAATAATAACCACCAGAAATCAACAACTTAGGTGACACAATGAGATTAAATGTAACACTGGAATAGAAAAAGGTTCTGTGCTATATTATCATGAGGCCTGATATGGAGGGTTTTATTTTGTTTTCAGATAAAAGGTTTGGCTCTTAAGCCACAAGTGACTGCAGAATTCACAAAGCATATATCTCAGTTTGATCAGTTTCAAAAAGAGAGACTAACACTTAACCCACAACTACCACTACCTGCCTGTAAAGATGATACTAGATGATGATAACTTTCTCTGGAGTGAACAGACGTTTTAATTAGAGTTTCTTACCAGAAGAATGGCTCAACTATACTAATCCCTGGACTCATCACCATTCTTCACCACTTACTGCTGAACTGTGAGCCTTTAAACACCAACATCAAAGTATTATAGTGAATAAATAAGGTATTACTTTATATACAAAACATAACGACCTTCCTGAGTTACTCTCTAGTTAGTCTACACTACCCGATAAATAACATTAGAAAGTTCTCCCCAAACACCTCTGTGAAAACAAGCTTTAAAAGGCAAAAGATGATACCATTTTATAAGCTGTGAGAAATTGAGAATATCCAAGTAGAATGAAATCATTTAAAAGGCTTCCTATTGTGAACAACTGCTGGCTGTTTCAAAATCTAGAGTCATCAGAATGTAATCAAACTAATTTCAGTAACAAATGAATTACCAGGTTTCTACTGTTTCATTTTAGTGCAGGGCAAAAACTAACCCTCCCTCTTAAGTTGCTCTAAAATAGGTCAAACCTACTGGATAACTGCCTTTTGTAGAAAGATTAACTCAGTAGTAACAAAAAGAATAAAATATCTAGGAATAAATTTAACTAAGGGGGTGAAGAGACCTACACATTGAAAACTGTAAGACACTTGAAAGAAAATGAGGAAGACACAAAGAAATGAAAAGACATTCCATGCTCATGGATAGGAAGAAACATTGTTAAAATGTCCATATCACCTAAAGCAATCTACAGATTCAATGCAATCCCCATCAAAGTCCAATCACATTTTTCACAGAAATAGAAGGAAAAAAATCCTAAAATTTATATAGAACCACAAAAGACCCCAAGTAGCAAAAGCAATCCTTCATAAAAAAGAACAAACCTGGAGGGATCATACTTCCCAATTTCAAATTATTTTACAAAGCCATAGTAATAAAAACAGCATGGTATTGGGAGAAAACTGGACACACAGATCAATGAAACAGAACTGAGAGCCCAGAAATAAACCTACACATATATGGAGAATTAATTTATGACAAAGTAGCAAAGAACATACAAAAGAGAAAGGACTGTCTCTTTAATAAACGGTGTTGGAAAAACTGGACTGTCATGTGCCAAAGAATGAAACTAGATCACTATCTTACACCATACACAAAAATTAAATTTAAATTAAAATGGATTAAAGTCTTGAATATAAGACCTGAAACCATCAAACTCCTAGGAGAAAACATAGGCAGTACTCTACTTGACATTGGTCTTAGCAGTATCTTTCTGGGTATGTCTCCTCAGGCAAGGGAAACAAAAGCAAAAATAAACAAATGGGATTATATCAAACTAAAAAGCTTCTTCACAGCAAAGGAAACCATGAACAAAATGAAAAGACTGCCTACTAAATGGGAGAAGATATTTGCAAACAATTTATCTGATAAGGAATTAATATCCAAAATATATCAAGAACTCATACAACTCAACAACAAAAAAAGAAAACCTGATTAAAAAATGGGCAGAGGATATGAATATTTTTCCAAAAAAGACATAAAGATGGTCAACAGGCATATGAAAAGATGTTCGACATCACTAATTATTAGAGAAATACAAATCAAAACCACAATGAAATATCTCCTCATGCCCATTAGAATGGCTATTATCAAAAAGACAAGAATTAAGTGTTGGAGAGGATGAGGAGAAAAGGGAATCTTCACACACTGCTGGTGGGAATGTAAACTGGTACAGCCACTATGGTAAAAAAAATATGGAGATTCCTCAAAAAAATTAAGAACAGAACTACCGTATGATCCAGCAATTCCATCCTGGGTATAT